GATATATATATATATATATATATATATATATATATCGATTTTTTTGGAAGCCGCAGTAGATCAGATTGCCTCGTTTTTGCCACACCATGTGTCACATTTTCATCGCGACGTGCATCGCCACCCCAGCAGACAGGCATTAATTCGCCCATTGTTAATGACTTGCACTGGGATTTGGTATCCTTCCGTGGTCACGACAGATCCGCGTTACTCGAGGTGATCATTCAGTTGAGGAAAGATCGTAACACAATAATATCTCGATTTGAAAAGCTGCTTCAAAGGCTAAACAAAACAAGTTTTAAAGCTCAACCGGAGACTTCACAAGCTACTACTACTACTAGTAAACCAGCAATCTAAATGATAAGGTAGTGATCCAATGACTACAACTTACAAGCAACGTGTATTATAACATTTGTGGTAAAAAGAAAGTAGAGTACTTTGACAGTGTAAGTTAATATTTGGTTTTCTGTCTTATATTAATAGTAAGCCTTTTACTGTTTTAGACTGGTGAAATTAATATTTTACCAAGTATTTAAATACCACTTTGAATTTAACGTTTCAATCGGCGTTTAAAAGTTTAGTATTTTGGTGAAGAAACACTGTTTAACAGTGATCATATTAAAACTAAAGCTTTGTTAAGCTAGCAAAATAAACTGTATTTGCAACATCAAAGCTTGTAAGTAAAAAGATCATGTTGAAACCATACTTTAGTACTAAATTTTCCACGTGTTGTAGAAATATCTTACTTATTTTTTAAAAGGAAACGATTTACTAATAATAGATATTTTGGAAACTAGCATAACCACAAATAAGATGCTTTAGTTCAACCGTGATACAAGTAGAGAGCCCCATATTCCTTTTTTGGTTACGTCTAAAAATTTCACATGGAAAGCGAGGTAGTTCTTGTAATCTTGTGCCATTTGCTTTTGTTTGGGTAAGTGCACAGTACGGGGGACCATGAAACGTGATGTTCAGGACTTATATGATCGCTCACCCCCTCAGGCCTGTCCGGGACATCTTGTGTTTATTTTCCTAGAGGTTGGCCTCACACGCAGGCGGTGGTGAAGTGTGGGAAGAGAGCGCGGTCACTATCGGTCTTTTGACGACAGACACTCGTGGCAGAACGTTCGTCTGCTCCTCCATTGACGACCTCTTCTAGGCCTAATCCCAGTGAACCTTCAGAATACGTGATGTGGCAGTGAAGCTCTAGATTATTGTCATCTTCATATGATATATAAAGAAAGGTAAACATTGTGTTGCCTATATGACTATAGTTTTTGAAATCTCGTCAAATCTTTTCGAGTACAACATATTCGGAACCTGATTTATCGTAGTGGTAAACGTTGTCAGTAGTGTTTACACCGACGTTTCTTCCCGTTCATCTGTACCAGTGTACGAGCGCTACAGATCGTCTAAGGCTAGCGGTGTGTAACACAGTTTGTATTAACTAAAACTTGACGTTGTGCTTCCTTCTCTTGTAGTGGTGTGCCGACTGACCAGTAGATGTGATGTAACTGTGGTCTTTCAAATCTCACTATTGCGGTGGTTTGAGGCTATTGGTTGGATAAAGTAAGTACCGGATTCTGTTAGTGGTGGTTGCTCAGTGACTTTTGCGACCATCACCTATACTGGTCAAGCTTGCAAGATTTTATTTCGTTTTTCAAATCACCAAATTTAGTTAGTGTATGCTAAGCGGAGGCAGTTTGTCATAGATAATTTTTTTGATGTGTGGGGTCTTAAAAAATATTCGCAAACTCTTCACTCGCATTTTTCTTAATTTGTTGATCACAACGAAGTACTGATGAAATATGTTAAACTCACTATATGTAACATGTTATCTACTTCTTGTTCAATTTTATGTTATGTATGTATTATATCAAAATTCAGTGACATTAATGTTTATCAAAATCCTTTTATTACAGTAGTCGTCTGTCATATACTTTATTTACCATGAATAATATTCCGCGTTCTATTATAGTATATGAAGTATAATTTAAATATGTCGTATGCTAAATATATACAAAATAAAGTTTAGGATAACTTTTCTTTTTCGAAGTTGAATGTTGGACTAAGTTGTGGTAGCATAAGTTTCTTCATGCTTTGGCTCTACTACATTTATATACATTTTAGTCGTAGTTCGTGGTTCCTTATCGAATTATCATTTGAAGCTTCTAATACAAACTGCCACCGCCAGCACTGTTGGGCGTGTAAAAGCTCATTTTACAATACGCAGGAATTCATTGGTTGGGTGGTGAGACGTCGTACTTACTGCGCGGGTACGAGAGATCACACACGCTTAGGACATGGGCGACATTCTGGGATATGAAATATACCTCAGTAAGATTGACAGTCCTAGTCATAAACAAGAGACGATCTCGCCAATAAAAACGAAGAATCGTTTGAAGTGTGAGACTGAAATGAGTGCGTCAGCAAATGCAATGCTAATGAATGTTAGAGAAATGTAGAGGCATTGGCCCAGCCAACCAATCTGTGACCGAGTGCAAGCATTCATTTACAGAAAGATTTAGTTTTACTGTTTGAATATCATAATAAGGTCAGGTACCATGGCAACATTAAGATGACGTCCAATCATTTCATTTCAACGTGTGGTCTACTACTGAGTGATGCAGGTATGTACAGTGATTTCCATAACGTTTCTTTACATCCCTAATTTCCTATGGGAGGAAAATATATGTCTCAGCAGGATACAGAGATTTCTGAAAACTGAACTAGCTCCCAGGGTCTTCTAACAGGGTCTTCTTTTGAGTCGAAGGAATTTGCTACCTTTCTGAGGTACACATGAAAGCTAGCTAGAAAAAGTATGGGAGTAGATAAGTACTTGCTGTGAACGGAGTTGAGTTCAGGTATATAGTAAAGTTTTGTAAGTGCCGTGCATATACTCTTGACAATAAGCGTACTTCTGTGAGATAACAGGTAATTTTGTCTAGCGACTTCGACCTTTGCTTAATAGGTATAGAGATAACACTTGACAAGGGGAATATGATTATTACATACGTGTAGATGTGAGCTCGGCGTAATCTTTTATATATATTTTACTTTTACTTGCGTTATCATATATCAAATCGTATGTCTGTGGAAAAACTTTGTACACAAACTTCTATAAATTTCGGATTTTGAATATACTAAAGGCGCGTGGATAGACGAACTTGTTTGCGTGATTTGGTTTTTACTTAGCATATGTAAATTAAACACTTTTTAATTCCCACTGTTTTATTGTAGTATTATGTTAAAATGTGCGTATATGTAGCGTTATATTTACAAAATTTTAACATAATATAAAATTACACAATAGGGCGACGTTTGATTTCTTTTTAGATTTGTTATATTTATTAGATGTAATAATATTCTTAAAGACGCACGATCCAAAATTTCAAGTATCTTAAGATTGATATTGTAACCGGACGCGAACCGTGAATTTCGTATTCACAGTCGGACACGCTGACTACTAGAACCTTCCCGCCTATGAAGTTTATAAGATTATTTTCCGATATTACATTATAATTATATACAGTATATGGTGATAATCTGAAGACGGCAAATTAGTTAACTAATAATTATATTTATACCCCCATTGTTAAGAGGTAAGATTCAGAGCTTGCACACTAAAAATCGGAGTTTGATGCCCGTAGTGGACACAACGCAGATAGCCCATTGTGTAGCTTTACATTTAAAGAACACACATTTATCTTTTTACTGATATAACAATTAAACATAACTTCCTATTGTTAGAAAAATAATCAAATGTTTAGTGGTTTCTTTATTCGAGTTTGGTCAAAACCAGTATATATATATATATATAATAGAACCGAGTCGTCTAATTTATGTTTCATGCATGCTGAATGGGAATGATAAACCTCTTGAAGAAACTTGATTATTTGAGTTTATCAAAGATCAGCGAATATATATCATGAGACCAGGTGGTCTTGTGACATAACATATTTTTATTGTACCAACATACAAACGTTCTTCTACGTGAAATGATCAAAGTTTAATGTGATGAATAGGACCTGTGCTCAGTTGTTTGTAAAATGGTTCAGCATAAAAGTTTAATGTGATAAATAGGACCTGTGCTCAGTTGTTTGTAAAATAGTTCAGCATAAAAGTTTAATGTGATAAATAGGACCTGTGCTCAGTTGTTTGTAAAATAGTTCAGCATAAAAGTTTAATGTGATAAATAGGACCTGTGCTCAGTTGTTTGTAAAATAGTTCAGCATAAAAGTTTAATGTGATGAATAGGACCTGTGCTCAGTTGTTTGTAAAATAGTTCAGCATAAAAGAAAAAAAAAGGGTAGAGAGAGAAAAGTACGTTTCTGATGGTGAGAATTTTCTGATTTTGAAAAATATTTTCTTGGAACTAAAGTTAAAGAAGTAAGAAGGGTAAAAATAAGTAAGCAAATATTTTTTTATCTCTATATAAATTTATGTCACTACTGTGTTATCAAATTGAATTCCAGTTGTCTTTAGCTGTTGAAATTATCTTGTTCGTACAGTGTTTATTACTCCATTACCTGACAGGTAGGGTACGTTGGTAAATAGTGTGTATACATATATATGATTGATCTAATCTCTTAAATAATGTATGTCTTAATGAATAACTTTAGTTTCAATGTTTAAACTTTCTCTAGCCGAGAAAAATATAAATGCACATTAGTTCAGAGTAGGGGTTGCAGTAGTTACAGTGCTCATTGGATTATTTTAGTAGAAACGTTAGTAATAGCGAGAAAATGTAAAGGCGAAAATACTCATAATACATTCGAATACTTCACCTCTTCTGGGAATACTCGTTAGGAGGGGGAAGGGGTCACGCAAACTCCTGCGGCTGGCACAGCAGCGGCGACCGGGTTACTCGCGGAGAATGGATCGCTGTCTGATCACATAATATCACCCGTTGTGGGTGGAA